GCAAGCAAGCAAGCAAGCAAAGTTTATTTATATAGCGCTTTTTACAACAGGTGTTGTCACAAAGCAGCTATACAGAAAAATCAGCATTACAGAAAGAAAATCCAGGTCCAAGCCCCCATGAGCAAGCTAGTGGCGACAGTGGCAAGGAAAAACTCCCTAAGGGCAGGAAGAATCGGAGGAAGAAACCTTGAGAGGAACCAAGACTCAGAAGGGGAACACATCCTCCTCTGGTTGACACCGGATAACAAACATTGTTAGTATAAGGTATTATAGTATAAAACAGGAAAAACAGGTGGGGCAATGGATAATTTGATTAGTTTATGATTATGCAGCGGCAGCAGCAGCATTTGAGGGTGAGGATTGCACAGCGTTGTACAGCATGAAGCTCAATGGTGGTCAAGCCGGTCCAGAAGGCTGGTGAGCAGTGGGCACCCGATCAAGGCAGAAGAGGCAACAACATCAGACGCACAGGATGGGCAGCTGTTCAACTCAGCAAAGAAAGGAAACACATAGAGAGTTAGCTCTGTAATGTGTGACTGATCACAGATTACAGTATTAGCAGAGCAGCAGAGACTCTGGCAGGTCTAGATCTGACAGGGAAAACTAATTACCAGGCTGGACTATACAAGTACGTTTTTAGTCTAGACTTAAAGATTGAGGCTGTGTCTGAGTCCCGAACATTAACAGGAAGATTATTCCAAAGCTGGGGGGCTTTGTATGAGAAGGCTCTCCCCCCGATGTAACTTTATTAATTATAGGTACTAGTAGTAAGCCAGCACCTTGTGATCTAAGTAGGCATGATGGTTCATAGTAGGAGAGAAGTTCACTCAGGTATTGAGGAGCAATATTGTGGAAATGCAGGAAGGCTGTTCTAGTAATATTAGTTATATGTGTGTCGAAGGACAGATCAGGGTCTGTCACAACACCAACACCTCTCTCTCCCTCTTTTTTCCCTCTCAGCTCTTTTAAAAGGCGCTCACACTGCCAGCCAGATCAGCATCAGCTGGCTCTCATTAAGGGCAGCACCTGAGTACCTGAGCCGAGAGGGAACGAGAGCTCGCTGCTCCGCCTCCCCGTCACCGCCCCCAGCTTGCAGCTCAGCCGCCCGGGTCAAACGGGAGGTGTAGTGGAGCGGCCTCGCTGCGTAACAGGGGGCGGGGCCCAGGTGGTGGAGCTTGGGACTCGCTCCTTGCCCTGGTGCCTCTCGTGGCCGGCACCATCGTTCTCATCCTCCTCACTATCACTATCGTGACTCGCGTCCCTCGGGGAAGCTCGGGCTTTGCGCTCCGCCCCCTCCACACTCGCGGCTCTCTCCCTGCCGTCCTCGCCGGGGTTCGCTGCCGCTCGATGTTCAGGCCCCGCCTTCCTGCCAGCTCTCAAGGCCGTCATCGTCGGGGCCCGGGGGGCGGGCGCATGCCACAGGGAGATTCAAGATAGGTCTATAATTTGATAGTTCGCAGGGGTCAAGGTTAGCTTTCTTAATCAGCGGTCTAAGTACTGCTAGTTTAAGATTTTGGGATGTATCCAAGGCTAAGAGAGGAGCTTATTACTGACAGAATAGGCTTGGTTATTTCTGGCAAAATTTCCTTGAGTAAACCTGTAGCAATCAGATCTAACATACAAGTAGAAGATTTTGCAGAAGAAATAGCTATGCTGATGACACACAGTTATACATTTCCTTTCCTTCTGATGATCAAGACTGTGTATGTTGCAAAATTTTTTACAATTAAATCATGAAAAAATTGAAGTACTGTTGGTACAAAAACTCAGAGAAAGCTGCTTTATGAGAAACTTTGTTCATTAGCTTCATATACCAACCCTAAAGTACAAAAACTGGGTGTGATCTTAGATTCTCAGCTCTGTTTTATCCCACATGTAAACACAATCACTAAAGTATCTTTCCATTATTTGAGAAATATCACTAAAGTTCGGCCTTTTCTATGTCAAAGTGAAGTGGAGAAACTTGTTCTTGTGGTTGTTACAAGCAGACTTGATTACTGTAATGATCTTCTTACTGGACTTCCTAAGACAAAAGTACATCCCTTACAACTCATACAAAATGCAGCAACACAGATACTAATAAAAACAACACAAACAGATCAGATCACTCCTGTTTTACGGAACTGCACTGGCTAACTGTATTGTTCAGGATAGATCTGCTTCTAGTTTTAAGGCTCTAAATGACCTTAAAGCATAATTTTCATCACAGAGTGTCTGTCTGTTTATGTTCCAGTACACAATCTTAGATCTGCAGATACTGACCTTCTGCAAATACCTTCTGTAAAATACAGAGAACATGGAACACAAGAGCCATTATCTTTACTACTAATGACTTTCCATGGCATGAGTTATATTGGATCCTATTAAGAGGCCAACACTTCCATCTATCTGAGTGAGACGCACTTCCTTTAAGTAAGTCCATCTTTCTTTATTGTTTATTGAATATTGTTTCTTCTAACTGGTGTTTTCTTTTGATAGAAAACTTGGTGTAGCTCCACAAAGCTCTACTCATGTAAGCCACATACTTCCAACCCTGGGATACTGTGCATAGTGACTGGCCTTTCTAACCACATAGTGCATAGCAAGATGTTGGTTTTCCTTTCTGTTGTCTTTAGATCACGCATGAGCTCAGAATGAGTCAGAACAACCAGGATCTAAGAAAGAATTCGTTTCAACTGTCTGGTTACTTCTTATGGATTTACCTTTAACCAGAACTATAGTCAGAGCACAGTCCACTTCACTAACCCCTATACAACCACAAGACTCACCTTCCTCTTTGAGGAGAACACTAGTGATGGCTTGCTTTTTATTTTCACTTAAAACACTAGATAGAGCCACATCTTTAGTGTTGATGTGCAAAATGGAAGGACGTTTCTATGAGCATATCTAACAAGTGAAGTTTCACTAGCAATTTCTGCTCAAATTACTTTATCTCAGACATCCAAAGCACAAGCGCTTTGTCTTCAAGAAGTTATGTTTTTCTTTGTGTGGTCTTTGTTCAATAGACATACAGACTTCTAAGCTGTTTGTCCTTTGTGACAGAAGATACATGACTTCTCATTGCCATTGCCTGTTTCCATTGCTCATTTTCCTTGTTCTTTGTCTGGCAAAGGAGTGTTTTTGTTCTTTGAACTGGCTGGGTTTACTGGTCTTTAATCTGCTACTCTGCTTAGCCAGGGCAGATTCTTTAGTATTTCCAAAGAGCAGATGAGAAGCAATTTTAGTTTGCTTGTGCACAAAACTGACTAGGTCTTTAAAACTAGCTTTACAGCCATTCTTTTCTTCAATTTCACAAGCAATGCCTCGCCACTAAGGCTATACATAAATAATTGCAATCAACAATTTGTGTTTTCTTGTTTATTTAACAAGAAAACATTGTTCACTATTTAAAATACAAGCCTAAAGTGGCCTATTTGGCCGATTAGCCACCTTTCTTGCAAGTTATGTTTATTTAATAGCTAACACTGGCTATACCATCAAATAAATACACAAATGTCAGCAGTTACAGAGCTACAAAGCTAAATTTTCTTCATGAGAGTAAAAAAACACTCATTCTGCCAGCATACCTGCTAAAAATGTTAGGATCAGCTATAAATAATCAAACATTACTCAACACTGCCCTCTAAACATGTTAGAGCACAAACTGTTTTGTTTCATATGTCCCTGATATCTCAGGGAATGCATTTACTGCTTTCTTTTTTTATATATATTTGCATTATTTATTTGCATTATTATTTTGTTTGCCGCAGCATAATATGACAGTGAAATCTAACAACTGTGGAAAATGACTGCAGTCATCTTAAATAATTGTAATCATCTCAGATTATAATAATTCTGCATGTTAATTAACTAATCCTGCATGCCCCGCTTCTAGCTTCTCCTTGGCTGATGAAGTGGTGGGAGATAAAATGGAAGAGGTACAGTTACTCCACATTAATCCCCATGGTTTTGTAATGGGATGTCCAACAAGCTCATATAGATGTGATGGTCAGATGTCCCAATAATTTTGGCCATATATCCCTGATTTTCTCTATTGACTCAAGGAAAGAGATTCAACACCTTTGTTTATGGTTACTGCCGTGGCAAACTGTGACTATTAGAACTGGGCCTTCAGTTAAAGTCATAAATGTCAAACGTCGTTAAAAAAAAACTTTTTATGTAAAATATTGCATTTGTTTATCTAAACAAAAAAATGCTTTGCCTTTTTTCATTGAAAGTATTTGAGTTGAATAAAAGCACAAATTGCTTGTTACCAAATAAAGTACATTTTTTAGGTTGAACGGACAAACAACTTTTTACAGTGTAGAACTCTTTCCATTTCTAACACAAAACTGAACCTAGTTACAGTATGGCTTGTCAGTCAGTGACATCTAGACATCTAGAACAGAGGTGTTAAACACAGTCCTGGAGGGCCACTGTCCAGCACAGTTTGATTTTGCTCCACAAACACACCTGATTCAGTTCATCTGTTAAATGCCAGGTTTTTTATCCAGAATCCAGAATCTGAAATCCTAAACAATGGGAGAACTTGCCTGGATCTGCCTGGATACTGTAAATGTATTTGCACATTTACCAACTGGGTAAGTTTAGTCTGTCATAGATGGTCCACACTTTGCAATTTACTATTCAAAAATGGCAAACAGTGAACCTGCTATCATTGTTTTGTGCCCATTGCATTATTCAGGACCATGTTTTTTAAAATATGCCTGTTGTGTCCATGATTTGCAAAGCAAAAATGACAGATATCTATCTAAAAGGAAGAGCTGATTCCTGTCACGAACAGGCTTTGAGACTGGATGAACGTGTAATCGAGGCTTTTAATGCAGAAAATGAGAGCTCAGCTACAAAGCAATAGACTTTACTAACAGTGTTGGAAGTATGGGGGTTTAAATAGCAGATGGGAAATGATAAGCAGGTGAAGGGTGAAGCTGGTGATCAGTAGGCAGGTAAGTCTGAGCGACTCTGTAATAAACATTATTTTGTCATGTATTATCCTATAGGCTGAACTGCTGATCTCACTCAGAATGTCTCTGACTGTTTCCCTGCTGTTTCTGCTCTTCATCCCTGGTGAGTCAGTGCTGTTACTTCTCATCATTATGTAAGCTCTCTTTCTATATATATGTAGGGCCTATACATGTGTGTGTATATATGTATATACTCGAGTCATATGACTTGGACTCCAGTCAGAATTTGCCATGAATTTGACTTTAGACTCGACTCTACAAAATCCAACACCAAAGACTTGGACTTTGATTCATACTTGAGTCTCATGACTCAGAAAGACTCAAGACCCAATGTGAAAGAAACATGGAGAGTCTGACTGCAGACAGGACTCTATACAGCCGCTTATTTTTCATGTGAATGAATTCGTTTTCTATCGTAAATCTAATATACAGCAACATCCTCATATGTCTGTTATGTATGTTTATGCTCAGCTTATTTTATTTTGGAAGACAAGTTGAAGCGTTAGAGTCAAGTTCGCCTCCATAAGCTTGAAAAAAGAGAAGCATCAATAAGCCCTCACTCAGCACTTAAACTCCAGTCTTACTGGAGAAACCAGGTGAACTGAGCATTTTCCTAATGAAAGCAAAATGAAAGAAACAAAGCTCTCTCTATTTGACCGAATTTTACAGCTTCTGCAGGTAAAATAAGGGCAGCATTCATCATGAGGCTGAATTTGACTCGTTATTCACCAGATTAATTTTGGAATTTGCAGTTCCACCATAAATGGTGCAGCAGACGGAAAATTTTAATAGAAAGCTGGCAAATAACAAGTCAACTTCAGCTTCATACATTCAGCATAATTTTGCCATGTTTTCTGTAAACTTTGCTGAGCTCAGTCATTTTGGTTTCCGTTGTTGTTTAATTTCTGTTCACAAATTAGTGGTTGTTTTCAGTTGGCTGAGCTAGTTTAGTTGGCTAGCTAGCTCAAAGATTACAACTTGGGACTTGAGACTTGCCTGTACTGACCTGAGACTACACTGTCTTGATTTGAGACTTGAGTGTCAAGACTTCAGACCTACTACCTCTGCTATAAATATATATCACCACACACACATGTCCACATATCTTTTGGTTCTGATCTGTTCATTTCTGCTTTTCCAGACTCCTCCCCCACTGCATCTTATTTTGTGTTTTTATCTCCAAATGAGCTCCGCTTATTACAGCATTCAAACTCAGCTGAAATGAAGAGTCTTAGAAATGAGCCGAAGTGGAGACTTTATGCAGCATTTTTACTGACTGAGACCCAAACAGTAATAATTTACACATTTCTGTATTTTGTGTTGCAGGAGTTGTTGCTCAGGATGGCTGGGCTGTGAATTACAACTCAAAATCTGTCTGTGCTCTAAAGGGGTCTGCATTAACCATGGAGTGCACTTACACACCTCCAAGTGGTCACTCAGTCCAAAAGGCTTTCTGGACTAAAGAGCTGGTTACATCTGGTTCAGAACCTCCTGATCTGTCAGATGATCCAGAGTACAGAGGCAGAGTTCAGTACCTCGGAGATGAACACAGTGACTGCACTCTCAGATTTAAAACTGTGAGAGAAAAGGATCAAAGTAAATACTACTTCACATTTATAACAGACCAACCTGGAGGAAAGTATCAAGGTGCAGGTGGAGTTGATCTTTCAATCACAGGTAAGATCCATCAGCAGAAGTAAGACACTGTACTTCATTCACTGGTGTTCAGGATCACAAAGGAGTTCTGTAATAGAATCAAATCAATCCTCTTTATTATTTCTTATGTAAACTATATGATTTTTTGTTGTTGTTGTTACATGAGAATGTAATTGTACTGAATGATTGCTAACTGTGGTCCTTATATAGACTAGGATCTGACAGGTGACAGATGACAGTTATTTACAATTTAGGCTCATAGTGAATGTGACATAAAATCATATAAAAGGCTAAAGATTGACTGTGATGATGCAGACAGTGGCAGAACGGGCCTTTCTCGTAGCTTTGGCATTTTTGTAGGCCCGTTGAGGTCATGCTTTTGTGGCAATGTTGTTTTTTTTTTTACTTTTACTAGTAGAAATTTTGTTGTAATGTGTGAATTCAATTAGCAGAACTAACAATTAATGGATTTTGTCATTTGATATTAATCAGTGGTACATTTTTTACAAGTAAAATTGCATGTGGTAATTCAGTTAAAAGAAATACTACTAATTCTTCTATTACTAATATTACTACTAATAATAGTAATGAAGTACAAATTGAATTCATATTCCTGAACATCTTATTATCATATGTTTTTTAAATGTAATTCTTGCTTATAAAAATGTGAAGTTATAATGTAAGAACAGAAAGTTTAATTCTTTTCAAATGCTCCATAGTGTCTGAAACAAGCAGCACATTAGGCTGATTAGGCCTTTTGAAAGAGAAATATTTGCCAGTAGTTTAAGATGCCCCCCATTTATCTTTGGAAAATAATACTTTTGGAAAATAATATGCTTTTATTTTAAACTGAACAAGAAAAGTTATTTAAAATATGTGATCGTGGATGAGTTGTGGAGAAACCAATACACCTGGTTTTGCGAAAATTAAGGTTTTTTTTTTTCTTCTAAAGTTAATACATAATGTTAGACCTTTGGGGCATGATTTTGAACAGCTTTAGAACATGTTCTACCCCTGCTTTGATAAATGCTGCCCCGGACTGTGACTCAATTAGGAGAAATTTAAGTTAGCAATTACTCATACATATCAGTGTTTAAGTTTAAAGAAGCGATTTGTACATGAATTGCAATGGCTTCATCAGAGCTGTAGATATTTTCAATATTACATTTTGATTTAATTCCACTTTTGTGCAGAAATATTCACAACATATCTGAGTTCTCCACAGTATGAGTTTATTTTCTCTGGTTCTCAGATCTCCAGGTGGAGGTTCCTGAGAGAGTGATAGAGGGAGATAAAGTCACTCTCACATGTAAAACCACCTGCAGACTGACAGTCACACCAACATTCACCTGGTACAGAAATGGACATCATTTATCCTCCAGTACTGACCAACTCCACCTGCAGTCGGTCAGCAGGGAGGATGCAGGCAGGTATCACTGTGCTGTACTGGGTCTGAACTCTCCTGAGGTCACTCTGAATGTCAGATGTAAGTACAGATTTACTCAGATGTACTTGTTTATTCTCATAAATAAATGAAAAGTTATCATGTCAGAGGTAAAGTGCTGATTTAGAAACATGTACTCTCACTGTAAAGAGTATTTAGCTTACATAAGAAAGGACAGAGATCACTATACAATACTAAATATTAGTAGTAACTAATTTTGATAGTTACTTCATCTTACCAACGTACAGCCTACAGCATAAAATGTAGCTCACAGAGCAGCACTGCTGAACTGCAAATTATTAGTGTGGTCATAATGCTATGAGGACTAGCAAAATAATAGTGTTATTAACCATTAAACACATTCTTAAAAACAGTTTCACTCTGAAAAACTTAGGGATCTTATGTTTCCCTAACATTATGTGAAAAATATTGTATGTTTTATTTCCCATACTATTTCTACCCTGTGCTGAATATTGTTAAAATCTTCACTTATAGTACTGTTACAGTAATCAACATCTTTTCTAGATCTGTAATGTCCTGTGAAGATTAGATCACTCAGTGCTGCTTTCTTTGGATTTCTAGATCCTCCAAAGAGCGTCTCAGTGTCCATCAGTCCCTCTGGTGAAATAGTGGAGGGCAGTTCAGTGAATCTGACCTGCAGCAGTGATGCAAACCCACCTGTGCAGAAATACACCTGGTTTAAAGGAACATCATCAGTAGCAAAAGGAGAGACTTACACAATGAACATGATCAGCTCTGTGGACAGTGGAGAATACAAGTGCAGATCCAGTAATGAACATGGAGAGAAACTCTCTGAAGCTCTAACTCTGAATGTTTTGTGTGAGTCTGTTTTGTATCAGTTCTCTTTTCTAGAGCTGTAATATCCACTGATGATTAGATCACTCAGTGCTGTTGGTTTCTGATTTATAGATCCTCCAAAGAGCGTCTCAGTGTCCATCAGTCCCTCTGGTGAAATAGTGGAGGGCAGTTCAGTGAATCTGACCTGCAGCAGTGATGCAAACCCACCTGTGCAGAACTACACCTGGTTTAAAGGAACATCATTAGTAGCAAAAGGAGAGACTTACACAATGAACAAGATCAGCTCTGTGGACAGTGGAGAATACAAGTGCAGATCCAGTAATGAACATGGAGAGAAACTCTCTGAAGCTCTAACTCTGAATGTTTTGTGTGAGTACATTCAGTTTGTACTGCAGTGCTTTTTCCTGTGATTTTTAGAACACTCACTGCTGTTCTTCTCTGATGGTAACACTTTCTATGAATGTCATGTTTGTAAGCATCCATAAACACATTCATATCATGTTATAATGTATTCATAAGGCATCATAAACATGGCTATAAATATTTATTAAAATGCATTACACGTTATAGCCATGCTTATTATGCATTATGAATTGTTAACAGAATGCATTATAAGTACTGTTCATAACAAATTATAAGAGCTCATAAGTTGTATTTGTCCACTCTAAGTAAAGTGAAGCGTACTGTACTAAGACACCTCCAGTGGTAAGAGTGAGGCTTCAAGTTGAAGTATTTACTGAAGGATTTACTGAAACACTAAAACATGCACAGTAAAGTACATTACAGGCTTCAAATGTCAGAGTTTAAACTAGTGCTGCCATCAGTGTTTTACCCAATGTGGGAAAGTCAATGTACACCACCGTTAGCTTGGCACTAACTTAACACTGCATATCCAATAGAATGCTAGCACAAATAAGCATTATTGTAGTATAGTGATGTGACGGAGTGAAGGGTTCTTGCTCTTGCCGGCAGAACCAGTGAGGGAACAAATTACAATGACAGCACTCGACTATCTCGTCTCTCCCTCTCCAGGCCTTCACTCAGTAACTTCACGCTCAGTGTGATGTCAGAGGGGCTTCAGGGGAGGGGCTCATGGGTACTTGGTTTGCTGTGATGTAACGTTTAAAGTGAGAGTGCTGGTTAAGAAAAGCACATTGTAGCAAAAATTCTAGGCTGGACAGCCTGTTTGGAGCATCTGAATATTCTGGACTGAAGCCCTGAAGATGCAGCCCTAACAGCACCAGCAGTGAGCAATAAAATATTGGAAAACTCAGGGCGTAAATAAACTTTGCATAAGGGCGTAAATAAACTTTTGTCCTTACGCTCTAAGCTGGGACAGACTTCTTTGACAGTATAACATTTTATTAACATTACTCATAATGCATTATATTAACAATTCATAATGTATAATAAACATGACTATAAAGTATAATTCATTTTTATAAATATTTATAAACATGTTTACAATGCCTTATGAATGAATTATAACATGTTATAAATGTGTTTATTGATGCTTACAAATGTGACATTCATAGAAAGTGTTACCTCTATGATTTCTAGATCCTCCAAAGAGCGTCTCAGTGTCCATCAGTCCCTCTGGTGGAATAGTGGAGGGCAGTTCAGTGACTCTGACCTGCAGCAGTGATGCAAACCCACCTGTGGAATATAAGTGGTTTAACGGAACATCATTAGTAGCAAAAGGAGAGACTTACACAATGAACAAGATCAGCTCTGTGGACAGTGGAGAATACAAGTGCAGATCCAGTAATGAACATGGAGAGAAACTCTCTGAAGCTCTAACGCTGAATGTTTTGTGTGAGTCTGTTTTGTAGCAGTTCTCTTTTCTAGAGCTGTACTATCCTGTGATGATTAGATCACTCAGTGCTGTTGGTTTCTGATGTCTAGATCCTCCAAAGAGTGTCACAGTGTCCATCAGTCCCTCTGGTGAAATAATGGAGGGCAGTTCAGTGACTCTGACCTGCAGCAGTGATGCAAACCCACCTGTGCAGAACTACACCTGGTTTAAAGGAACATCATTAGTAGCAAAAGGAGAGACTTACACAATTAACAAGATCAGCTCTGTGGACAGTGGAGAATACAAGTGCAGATCCAGTAATGAACATGGAGAGAAACTCTCTGAAGCTCTAACTCTGAACGTTTTGTGTGAGTATATTCTGTTTTTGTTGCCATGTTTTTTTGGGCTGTAATGTTCTGTGATTAGATCACTCATTGCTGTTGGTTTCTGATGTCTAGATCCTCCAAAGAGTGTCTCGGTGTCCATCAGTCCCTCTGGTGAAATAGTGGAGGGCAGTTCAGTGACTCTGACCTGCAGCAGTGATGCAAACCCACCTGTGGAATATCACTGGTTTGAAGGAACATCATTAGTAGCAAAAGAAGAGGCTTACACAATAAACAAGATCAGCTCTGTGGACAGTGGAGAATACAAGTGCAGATCCAGTAATGAACATGGAGAGAAACTCTCTGAAGCTCTAACTCTGAATGTTTTGTGTGAGTCTGTTTTGTAGCAGTTCTCTTTTCTAGAGCTGTAATATCCTGTGATGATTAGATCACTCAGTGCTGTTGGTTTCTGATTTCTAGATCCTCCAAAGAGCATCTCAGTGTCCATCAGTCCCTCTGGTGAAATAGTGGAGGGCAGTTCAGTGACTCTGACCTGCAGCAGTGATGCAAACCCACCTGTGGAATATAAGTGGTTTAAAGGAACATCATTAGTAGCAAAAGGAGAGACTTACACAATGAACAAGATCAGCTCTGTGGACAGTGGAGAATACAAGTGCAGATCCAGTAATGAACATGGAGAGAAACTCTCTGAAGCTCTAACTCTGAATGTTTTGTGTGAGTACATTCTATTTTGTAGAGGTTTTTGTGTGTAAGCTCATTCCCTGATCCTGTTTCCTGATATAGATTGATGAGAATGAGGGGAACATCTCTGTCACTTTAGTGTGATTTTTCACTGTAGCAAAATCACACTAATGCATGGTGAAGCTTCAAAGAAGGGTAGCATTTATTTGTGGTTTCAAACTTAACGTAAAATAAGAAGAACTGGTGGAGCTGTGGGGTGGATATAGCAGAAAACAAAAGGTAGTTTTCCCGACAGACTTTTTCATTCACTCTCTTTCTCTCGATCGCTCTCTCTCTCTCAGCATATTATATTAATGTATATAATATTAACTGGAACAAAAACAGCACCTTTACATTTCACATTACAACCTAAAACAACAATATTTTACCATTATTGACCATATTTTGGTTCAGTCCGCTTCTTGTATTTACTGCTATTTAAAACGAGCTGGACTGTGTAATCCTCCTGGAAGTACAGCCAACATTTACAAACATTCTGATTGGGTCTGTTAAGTGCAAGTGCAATAATATATATATATATATATATATATATATATATATATAGATAGATAGATAGATAGATAAAAACTCTGCTGTAACTCTGAATGTTTGGTGTAAGTGTATTATTGATGTCCACCAACAAAATTCCTGACCACTAAAGACCATTTAATCACTCAAATACTTTGGAAGTTCTGATGTTTATTTTTTTTTTTTTATTCAGATCCTCCAAAGAGCGTCTCAGTGTCCATCAGTCCCTCTGGTGAAACAGCAGAGGGCAGTTCAGTGAATCTGACCTGCAGCAGTGATGCAAACCCACCTGTGCAGAACTACACCTGGTTTAAAGAAGGTGGAAGCTCACCTGTAGGATCTGGACACAGTTATAGGGCTCTACAGAGTGGATCCTACTACTGTGTGGCTCAGAATGAACACAGATCTCAGAGATCAGCTGCAGTGACTGTCACTGAAAAAGGTATTAGTGATGTAGAAAAAAGTATTAAGCTGAGAAACATTTTATAAAAAAAAAAACTGACTTCAACATTCATGTTCACACAGGGGGAACAGGGGTTTTGATCACAGTTTTATGCATTGTCCTTGGAGTGGTAGCTGGAGTGGTAGCTCTTTTCTACATAGTTTTTTGTGTAAGGTAAGCATCTATATGCACCTTGTTTCCTTATGGGACTGGAAAAAGTGCTTTCAGATAAACATAATTACATAGTATTTCACTACGCATTAGCGTGCTGTTTTGTGTAATTGAAAAAGGTTTTTGTTTGTGTATAAAAAGATTATTATTATTTGATTAATTTATTATTTTATTTTCTCCCCAGGAGAAACGGAAAAGGGAGTACAGCTACATGCAAAACACAGGCAAGTTGAACAGCACACTATTGTAATATAGTTCACCCATGTAAACTTTTGCTTTTGACTCTTTTCCAGCATTCCTTAGGATTTTGCTAGTTTCTGAAAACCAACCTCATTTTTTTCATCTGCTGTTCATTTTGTGTTTAGCTTTTTTGTTATAACGTAGTTCTTAATTCCTAAATTATGTTTTAATGAATTGTACTATAATAGTGTAATAGTGATTTTTTTGTTTCAGAATACTTCACTCTGTAATGGTGTGAGAAGTTCTGTGTTTGGCATAAATGTTTACAACTTCCTGGAGTCAAATTAAATACTAATTTAAATCAGAAAACTGATCAAACAGTCTAAGATACAGCACAATCTATGGTGTCAAGACCAGGCTTGAGAACTACAACAATGATAGTCCATCACAAATGTCTCATTACTTCCCCCAAACTATAATTTGATTACTTTAGTGATGACATACCACAACATAATTATTTATATTTCACTCTCTAAAACCCAAACAAATCTGCAGTAACTGGAAAGTTCAAAATACAACTTAAAAATCGCTTCAGTGATTTATTTTTAGAAAGAATCAGCCAAACACAGTAAACATCATTCAAAGGCATGTTACAAACACTGCCTGTCTTTACCATAAACACACAACCAGTTATGTTCTATTAAAAATATTAATTTTGCTAATGTTCGAAAAACCAAAATGTAAACAGTACAATCAGTTGAAAACAGCTGCCTCAAAATAAAATCATTATGAATAAAATGTTATGCTTACAAAATTCAACATCATTCAATGTTGGAGGTTGCTGTCAAGCCAACTTTAGCTTTTGACATCAACATGATTTTCATTTTCAACTAAAATCCATCTGTCCAAAACACTCCAGTCCAGCATTTTTCTGACGTCAAATTGATATCCGGTGCCTGCTGGGAAGATGCATCTTTTAATTTGGATAGCTGAATTTTGAAGAGCTGACTGATATGGTTGCTTTGATAAAAGAAAAGAAATCAGCACTTAAAACATTAAGTAGTGTTTGTCCTCAAATGTAAAGAGAAATATGTCACTTTGAACATATTGGAACTTCAACTAATCATATTAGAAACTGTGTACTACTCTGCTGATTTGTCATCTGTAATGTGTCTTTTTTCACTTCAGGAGAGTTACTACAGCAACTTGGGAACTCAGCGAGGAGCAACAACCAGTGATGCAACACCTGATCCAGATCTGTCCAATCAGGATGATGTTCATTATGCCAGTGTTGTACTCCATAAAGTCAGAAACCCCAGGAATGCTGAGAGCTCTGCAGTGACAGCTTCTGCCTCTGATGAAGAGGTTCAGTACGCCAGCATCCAGCACCGCCATGACAAAGTGGCAGAGATGACCGAAGATGACGATGTTCAGTATGCTAGTGTAAGATTTACTCGCACTGGTGCTACCCACAGGTAAGATGAACCGACCTTAGCAAACTGTATCAAATTTGTTACTTTGTCAAATCTTACAGTAGCTTAAAATTGGAATATAATTTTAATTATATGTGTTTGCTCTGTTGCTGCAGGTCTGCAGTTTCCACCTATGATGATGTCTCAGTGATCTACAGTACTCTGAAATAAACAATTTGCAATTCTGTTCAGAACATTATCACCCATGGACTCAACTTTTATTTAAAGGAAAAAGGACTCAGTCTATCAGTTGGATGTAAACCACAACAAGCATTTTGGAGTTCCCCTATTCTCCTTTATTCTTTGACAATTTTGTAAAACAGTCCATTTGACAGCCATTTGATGTTCACTGTTCATTTCAAATAGATACTATTTACAAGAAGATGACTAGCTGAAACACTCAAAATTTGATTAAACCATACCAAACCATTTCATTTTGGATATACAACCCAAAAGAAAAACCTCATGATCCATTTGCTTGGGGCTGAACCAACACTTTCCCCCTTGTATTTATTCTAAATGTTCAAAGGAGACTGCCCAAAACATTCTGAAAATTTAATACAGCCCTATCTTTTGACCCAAGACCATGTGCAGGACCCTTCTGCAACCTGTACAGGTCAACAGGCACAACTGCAATCACTTCTTAGAGAATATTAAGACCACCATTGAAAATCTTACTCAACCAGCTCCACAACCTGGCATCATCTTAGAATGGTCTGGACTTAAAGAGACCATATGTAACATACAAAAAAAGAAAGTCTTTTTTTGTTTTGTTTGAACTTACTTGAATGAATTATATATGTGTTGAAATATGTGTGGGATTTATTTGATTTTATTTTTAAGCAAAGTTTAAGGTTGTATTTTCTAGTCTCGCCGCTAGAGGGTGTTATGGTTCAGCAGGAGTGGGTGTTGCCCAGAGAATCACGGTGTGCTTTTTTCCCTTAGGAGAAAAGCCAGCCTGCATGAAAGACAACATCCATCTCCTGTCTATATTTTTTTCCTGTTTTATACTGGCAATTATGGTGTATGCTCAAAAAATAACATTGAAGATGTCAAGTTCACATGTTTACCATTATTACATTTAAGTTATGGTCACATTTGGGCACTAAATTGCATGTTTTAGGAGTAAAAACTCTCTGTTGAAGCTAAATGATCGAGCTAACATAAGCAACTATGTCCATGCTCTCTGTGTATTTTCTGTTGTTATTTTGGCTCCTTACTAGTATGCTGGATTTGTTTTTTTTTTGTTTTTTTGAGACCTTATTCAAAAATTTTGATGGGAATTATGATTAATGCATATTTATGAAGGTCAAATGTTATGTTTAGTTATATGAATGCATACCTATAGTGAGGAATGTTCTCTATAGCTGAGCTAAGTGACTTGCTTAAGTACTTACTTTTACTGCACTTTCACTGAATGTTACTTGCCATTTCACATCATGTGTTTTTTTTTTAGTTCTTTTGCACTGAAACCATTGTACTTCTATATATAATATAACAGAATGTGCCATACACATATGTATAGGTAGATTTTATTTCAGTACTTAACGAAGAGAAGCAACTTTAAGTGACCTAAAAGTAAAGCAAGTGCAGATGTGTTTTGTGCAGATGTGTTAGTGGACTTCTAATTCATGTTATACATTCATGTTATAACCATAAGCTGTTATTTAATCAGACAGTGTTCTGAAAAATCAACTGGAAAATACTGTTTACTGATTTATTTATTGAAAGATGTTATTTCTTATGGAAATGATGACAGTTAATGGAAATAATTACATGCAATCCTTAATAAAAGAGAACAGCCAGCCTGCATGAAAGACAACAACTGTATCCTGTCTGTATTTTCCCTGTTTTATACAGTTTCATGTTTATGGGCACCTGGTCTCTGAGGGACCTGTAACAAAATTTGGTGGCCTGTACGGGGATCAACCGATGGCTGTTGGTGTGGATCCCTAAACCTACGGACCCAAGCCTAAGAGTCACAGGCCCAGAACAGGGAGTATGCAGTGTCCAACTGAGGCAGTGGAGATGAACAGAGAACAAAGGGATCCTAGCTGAGGGGTGGAGCACAGCAAATTCAAAGGCTCTGGAGGATTGAGTAATGGCTGATGACGAGAAGAACATCAGGGATAATAGCAAGTGGAAAAGGCTGAGTTGGAAGATCAAGAAGAGTCTCTACAGTCTGACTGCTGGCGAACTCTTTCAAGTCGCAGAGAGCATCACGACGATACCTGATCTTGATTTTTCCATGCTAATTAGAATTGATGAAGAGAGTTGTTATTACTATATTTCTGCTTATCTACATTGTAAAACATTGCTTGAGTTAGAGGATAAGGGGTTGTCCCAGCTATGTTATTTTGCAGATATCACTGAGCATCTTGTTGCTAGACAAGCTGTAACTTTAAGGAGTCAGCCTAGAGTTTTAGAGAGTGAATATATCAGCTCCTTCACATACCAGTGCGCTGACCCCATCAGAAATGACAGAACATACAGTAGCTGACATTCCTCAGGGCAACTTAATTGGTCCACAAATCCAGATGTATCAGAAGTGACTATACAGTGGTTGGTGTAGTGGGTAATACCTCTGTCTTTTACACTGTAGACCAGGGTTCAATCCCCTGCTTGGGCAAGCAACCTACACTATACCAATAAGAGTCCTTGAGCAAGACTCCCAACACTATCTTTGCCTACTTGTGTAAAATGATCAAATTGTAAGTCGCTGTGGATAAGAGCATCTGCCAAATGCCGTAAATGTAAAGTGAATGGCAGAATACAATTATTTGCACAAGAAACTAAATGAGCTTAAAATGATATCAGACATGCCACCTGTGCCACCTATGCTTATCTCAAAAATTCCACCACCTACTTGTGTTTTACCTAATCAGTCCACAAATGTTCCTTGAGGGACCTGCCATTTTTGCATCACCGAAAATGCAGAGTCCATGGGGGGCAAGTAGGTGATGGTGCTTTTGATATCAGTTACCACAGTTTAAGCAAGCAGACTGATGACAGGCTCCAGTCCAACCACACAGAGAATGAGGTTATTTGGGGAGCTCTCTGTATTATCAAACTAGGACAGTTTAAGGATATACTCATAAACAAAGTGGACCTCTCAGTTGTAGAGCTTAAAAGCTTCTTGTGCTCACACTTGAGTGAGAGATGTGCCAGCGAATTGTTACAAGAGTTAATGAGTACTAAACAGCATAAGCATGAAAGCCCGCAGCAATATCTGCACAGGATGATAGGGCTGAAGCAAAGAGTATTGTTGGCATCAAGACACAATGGCACTAACATTAAATATTGGGCCCGCACTCTCCAGAACATGTTTCTGAGAACAATCTAACAGGGCCTTCTCCCGAAGTACAGAAGATACCCAAAAGGAGCTTAAGCTACTTCTGTTTGATTATACTGTGTCAGATGATGCACTGCTGAGGCTAGTGAGCCAAATATCCAGTGAAGAGAGTGAGAGACAGCAAAGACTAGACTATTGTTCTCCTCAAAAAATAACACATACACAGTGCTAATCTTAAATCAGACAGTGAAGCTGATAAACATGCAGAACAAGTTCACTTCCAACTGCCCAGCAAGCACTGCAGCTGTCTAAAGTGTATAGAGCAAGAAGTTAACCTGTCACCACTGTTTAGTGTGTGGTTATGAGAGTCATAGAGCGATTGGATGAATGTGACGGTGAACGGTGGACCTTTACCCTACGATGCCTGGATTGGAGTGACAGTGAGCCTCCCGGGTAACAGTGATCCAGACTTGTCAGTACACATACCCTTTCTGGTGAGCAGTGTGTCCATTGACCGCCTCTTACTTGGATTCAATGTGATTGAGCAGCTGATTCTGGGCCCTAAATGTGACATGGAAATTGAATCTGCTCTGGTGAGACTTCTTCAGGGTGCAATGAAAATCCAAGATGATAAGGCTCAGGCACTGGTAAACTTCATCCAAACGCAACAGACCAATGACCTTGATGTTGTAGGGAGCAGACTACAAGCAGGATTGTGTAACACTGTTATCCCACTTGGTCAGGTTAGGCATGTCAAGCGTAGAGTACCCCCTAAAGTTGACATACGCAGTTCTCTTGCACTGTTTAAATCAGATGAAGACAAGATCCAGGTACAAAAGTTGGACATGGGTGGCAGTTTACTGCAAATCTGCAAGACAGATATTCCCTTCTTGAGTGTACCTATAAGCAATCACATGAAACAGGATTTTGTCCTGCCCCCTCGGACGACCCTGTGGAGTCTTCATCAGGTAGCTAAGATAAAGCAGCTTAATAGCAAGTTAATAGCTAATGAACTGAGCCAAGAAGAACCACTAATGTACGTGAGAGTAAATAATGTAGACTCCCCACAGACTCAACAGAACAGTGGGAATGATGGAGACCAAAACTGGGACCCACTACTAGATGTTACCACTTACACACCCCTTGAACTTTTCCACATTTTTTCATGTTACATCCACAAACTTTTATTTGATTTTATGTGATAGACCAACACAAAGTAGCAAGTAATTGTGAAGTGAAAAGAAAATTATAAATGTTTTTTACAAATAAAAATCTGGAAAATGTGGCATGCATTTGTATTCAGCCCCCCTGAGTCAATACTTTGCAAGTCTTTTGGGGTATGTCTCTACCAGCTTTGCACACCTAGAGGCTGAAATTTTTGCCCATTCTTATTTGCAAAATAGCTCAAGCTCAGTCAGATTCAATGGAGAGTGTCTGTGAACAGCAATTTTCAAGGCTTGCCACAGATTCTCATGGGATTTAGGTCTGGACTTTGACTGGGCCATTCTAACACATGAATATGCTTTGATCTAAACCATTCCATTGTAGCTCTGGCTGTATGTTTAGGGGTGTTGTCCTGCTGGAAGGTGAACCTCTGTCCCAGTCTCAAGTCTTTTGCAGCCTCTAACAGGTTTTCCTCCAGGATTGCCCTGTACTTAGCTCTGTCCATCTTCCCATCAACTCTGACCACCTTCCCTGTCCCTGCTGAAGAGCAGCATCCTCACAGCATGATGCTGCCACCACCATGTTTCATGGAGGGGATGGTGTGTTCAGGGTGATGTGCAATGTTAGTTTTCCGCCACACATAGCATTTTGCATTTAGGCCAAAAAATTCAACTTTGGTCTTATCTGACCAGAGCACCTTCCAAATGTTTGCTGTCCCCCCTACATGGCTTGTTGCAAACTGCAAACAGGACCTCTTACGGCTTGCTTTCAAAAATGTCCTTCTTCTTGCCACTCTTCCATAAAGGCCAGATTTGTAGAGTGCACAACTGATAGTTGTCCTGTGGACAGATTCTTCCACCTGAGCTGTGGATCTCTGCAGCTCCTCCAAAGTGACCATGGGCCTCTTGGCTGCTTCTTTAATTAGTGCTCTCCTTGCCTGGGCTGTCAGTTTAAGTGGACGGCCATGTCTTGGTAGGTTTGTAGTTGTGCCATTCTCCTTCCATTTTCAGATGATGGATTGAACAGTACTCTGTGAGATGTTCATAACTTGGGATATTTTTATAACCTAACCCTGCTTTATACTTCTTCGTAACTTTATCCCTGACCTGTCTGGTGTGTTCTTTGGTTTTCATGATGCTTGTGCAGTCAGTGTATGTATGGAGTGGATTCTTCAAGAGACTTTTACTTTGAAGATGATGTCA